TAAATACAGTATTCCCTATTTGTAATTTATGCCTTCAATACCCTCAGCACGCAGTCCTTTTTAAACTTTTATTGATTCCTATCTAATTTTGCTCAGATATGTGGCTGTAATATTCACAAATCATGTTATGTTGTCTTAAGGAAGAACAAATTTATACAGTACATGTATTGACGAATAGGGAGATTAATTTGTTAATTATATGAAAAATGATGACTTTACCACTAATTAAAACCACCATTTTGCTATTGTTTATTGTAGATACCATCTGCGTTACATCTCATGTTTAGTAGGCTGTTAATTGTCAGCCAATCCTTCATCTTGGGAAATCCATCATTCAGGCACATATGCAACTCCTGAACAATTGTAACATTGGCACTTATGTTATGATGTATGCATTAATTCTTCATACATTAAAGCAGATACGCTGATAGAAATACTTGGAAGGAACATCAACAGAAATAATGTAATTGCTAAGTTACAACAGTATGAGGGTGTTGCTAATAAATGGCTTATAAAAATCATGTGACTATAAAAAAAATGTTGCTTGCTGCCTCACTATTTCTACAAATATCTGCTTAGCAAGGTTATGTCGTGGTGCTATCTGTCCATGTTTTTTTCATGTTCTGGTTTAAAAAACCGAACTTATTATCATTTAAGTTTAGTTTAATATATATTGAACCAAAGTTATGACTTATATGTTGTGTAGTGATGAGTACAGTATATTGACTGTTAATAGCTGAATGGATATTTAATGTCAACTGATATGGTTGCTCCAGTATAAACTAAACGGTTGGGAACTAAGCAGCTGAATGTCCTTGTGAACTTAGTTGTGGTTGCATGCTCACTTGTATGTACTCTCAAGTTAATTCGGGAAATATAGTAGCTGAATAGCTTGTCAAATTATATTTTACAAGCTGTTTAGGTATATTTACCAACAAAAACACATGGGAATGTATACTGTAAGCAATCATAAGCAATAACCATTTAATGCAAAGGAAAATGCATATGTGGAGCACTCTTATCAACATTACAACAGTGAAGGTCTGGTTTGTCGCTATTTTTTTATGTTGTATTTAATT